TAGTTGAAGCGGACTTAAGCGACTTCATGACTGCAAAAATGTTAACGGAAATCGAAAAGGATAGCGTGCATGAAGGCTATTTCAATTGTAATCTTCCGTCGCTTTTCTAAGGCGCAATGATACAACTATTTGAACTCTCCGGAATGTGTGTGGTATCACGCCGCATTTGACGGCGTTTTCAAATCAGCTAAGTTCCGATACCCGGATTATCGTTTTGCATAGTTCACATTGTTTTGTTATATTCCGTGCCACTTGTTCATTTTTAATCATCGTAGAAAAACCACCCATTTGTAAATGCAATTCTAGCTGAAGTGCACTTCAGCTATGCATTCACCACTGCAAAAGTTTCAGAGGAAATTGAAAAGGCCAGCGTGCATGAAGGCTATTTCAATTGTAATCTTCCGTCGCATTTCTAAGGCGCAATGATACAACTAAATGAACTCTCCGGAATGCGTGAGGTATCACACCGCATTTGAAGGCGTTTTCAAAACAGCCAAGTTCCGATATCTGAATAATCGTTTTGCATAGTTCATTGTATTTTGTTTTCATTTCTAACCACTTGTTTATTTATGATCCTCCTATAAAAATGGCCCATTCGCTATATACAATTCTAGGTGCAGCGCACTTCAGCTATGCATTCACCACTGCAAAAATGTCAAAGGAAATCGACAAGCCCAGCGTGCATGAAGGCAGGCCCGCCACAAGGGGGGGATACTGGGTCCCTGGTACCGGGGCCTGGGTCCCGGAGGGGGCCCGTGTTACCCGTGAAAAACCACTACGAATTCACATGCAACCCTTCTTTCGTAAGAAAAAGTGAAAAATTTACCCTAAAAATTTCGCAAAAGGTGAATAGATTTTCGGTGAAAAGGGGCACTGTAGAATTCTTCGTAAATTTTCAAAGAAGTATACTTCTTGGAAAATTTCTATCTTTTTTCAAGTTTTTCAGTACAGACGGATATTTTTAGTAACTGCGTTTCATTTTCTTCCGTCGTCAGATGCTAAGAGTCTCCAGTCTGGGCCTCCTCGACTTCAATGGCTCATGGCTCAACTCCCTTGCCATAGACAAACAAAGGGGGAATCCAGGGGGGCCTGGCCCTCTTAGAACTGAAAATAATATCATATGCCCCCCCAAAAAAGAAAAAAAAAGAAAAATTTTCTAGATGTTTTGAATGCAACAATTCGCAAGTATTTTGTGCTGAAATATATATATATCCGCAGAAATTGATAGAAAAATTCTTTATGGAAGCTTCAAAATGCGTCCGATTAGTCGTATGAATTCTAAAATTTTTCGGGGGATGCCCCTCGGACACCCCCCCCCCCCCCCCCCCCNATTGGGGCCCGGACCTTAAAACTGGTACCAGGGCCCGAGACGGGATGTGGCAGGCCTGGAAATACCTACTTCGAAGTCAGAATAGTTTAAAAAGAAAGAAGTTTAGTTAGTCAGAAATAGTGTTCTGCGTTTTGCCCCATCCAACTTTTCATCTGTGAGTCAGCGGAGAGACCAAGCTCCGTGTACGGGCACGTTAAAATATGGAGCTTTCTGACATTTCAACACGAAACCAAAATGGCCAATAATTTTCATAAATGAACGTTCTTCCGCAAAAATTAGTAAAATTATGCAAAAACTGAGTCAAATATGTGTTTTACAAACAACGGGTCGTAACAATTATAATAATAAAACACTCTGGACAAATTTAATCAATAGGTTGGCTGCATGCCCTTTTGGGCCTTAAAAGCTCCATGACCTAAACTTAAAATTACCGACTTGTTCATACTCGCCCAGTGTAGGTACTTTAGCCTCTGCGGACTGATTGTTGAAATTGATAGACAAAGCTATAGACAAAGAAGACATATAGGAAGCATGGAGCGATCCTATTGGTTGAAATGGTTGGTTCGTATAGACTGGGGGGAAAACTGATGAACTATAACTATAGGGTCTCTTGTAGGCTGCCGTTAGTTAGTCTATTATCTATATATTTGTCCAATAAAACGACCCGCTTCCCCCAATACTGCCGTGCTAAGGAAGAACGCCGTATGAACACTCGAGAGTTGCCAAATTTCCCTTGATAGGAAATGTATTTTTCACAACATTCATGCATAATTTTCCTCGAAATTTTGAGATATTTTAGATTTAATTGTGTAAAAAATTGTCTGAAAAATTTGGCAAATAATGTTCAGAATTTTCTCAGTAAAATTGGTTTTTATCGGTGGACACTTGGCAACGTCTGAAGGCTCATACGGCGTTCTTTCTTAGCAAGGCAGAATAGGATTCCTCCGTAGTCTTTTTGTCTTTCTTTTCTATAGCTTTGCCCATCAATTTCAACAATCAGCCCGCCGGATACCTTCCGCTTCGTATTCCTTGCAAAACGTGTGGCATGTGCGCACCACCGGTTGCATAGCACCCAGGCGAGTGCGGCAGGAACTCGGGCGTCCGCGTGGAGATAGGATGCGTTGAGTGTTGTCGGCGTGGCGCTTGGAGCGTCGCGGCGCTGCGTGGCGTCTGCAGCTCCTCGGAATGCACCGACTCGTTATGTATGCTGCGCTGGGCCGGAATCCCAGTCGGGGACCTCCACTCTATACTCTCCGATGTCTCCGTTCCACACCGCGTCAAGACGCCGCCGTGGACGCCGCCGCCGAATGGTGTGGCAGGAGTCTTGCAATGTTGCCAACTCCACCCGAAATTATATTTTATATCGACCTGTCCTGTGACGCACAGTGGATCGAGTGACGCACTGGAAAAAAAAACCACATTGGATCTAGATTCCAGACTCTTGAAAACATTGACAAGAAAAAATACTCTTAATTCAATCGGATCTTTGCTTGAATCAAAACGAAATCCGCTTAAATTAAGAGGCTTGGTTCTTGATTTAAGCTAGATTCTGATCGAATCAAGAGCACTTTTTCTTGTTGATGTTTTTAAGAGTCTGGACTCTAGATCCAGGGTGTTTTTTTTTTCCAGTGCGTCGGACCAAATTTGGAAACTTTAAACTCGTATAGCTCCGTTTATACAAAACTTTGAAGTTCTAACAGTGGTTTCATTGGTTTCTTCGTGACATTTTCTTCAAGAAACACCCCTTAAAGTTTAAAACGTAGCGCTATAGAAATAAAAATTTGCAGTTTTAGTCGAACATTTCATTTCTAACCTCTCTAATTGACTCGATCCACCGTGTGACGGTGTGCTCAGTGGAAATGTCCTATTTTAAATGTCCAACGAGAAATGTCCATTACAGTAATGTCCGCTCTAAAAATAATGTCCAATGCACTTTTGGTCCATTAAGTAAATGTCCATAAAGAGATAAGCCCAGTAGTATATTTTGTCCGTGAATCTAAAAATCCCGGGGTTTTAAATTCGATAAATGTTGACCACATTTGAGAAGTTTCCTCCTCACTAATAGATTGGTGAATTGATGCGGTGTGACAGGATTGTATCAACTCTAGCCGCTCATCAGCAAGCTATGATTTACTGCAGTGGCGTGGCGTGCTTTGCGATGTATCGATTGATATGCCATTTCAACCTATGGAAAAGGATTGATAAACAGGATGTTTGCAACAAGAACTATAATAATTGATCCTGTGCCACAGCGTTGAATGGAGAAATATCGATAATAGATCATGAGCGCCTCGTCACTGATTTACTGGAACTCCCCTGATTTTATCCTGATTTTATCCTGATTTTTTTCCCTGTGTTTTTATTTGATGTAAGTTTAGAAGTATGAAGTCTCAGCTGTGCTTGTCGCCGCAACTGCACTCAGTCGAATAGTGCGTTGTATAAATAATCAGATTATGTTGATGAGAAATTTGGTTCCTCTTTCTAACGGCCCATTCAGCTTCCCCATTTCCATACGATTGAGAAGTATAGGCACCTGTTTCTATGATTGTGGCCGCCACTTTTCTCTTTCAACCTTCAAATCAAGACAGAACCTAGAGATGCATCCCTGGAAGGTAAGCAGTTCGTCCTCGCAGACTGAAACTAGATGAGGCCTTAGTGCTAAGGGCCAATTCACGCACAGCGCTGTCGTGAATGGTAGAACACTTATCCTTGTCAGCTTAATAACCCGTAGCACATTTACCGTGCTATTAGGTTTTCTATGAAGACATTCATATAAATCAACTGGTGAGTCTCCTCTCAATCACATGCACTGTGCAATTCACATCACCAAAGAAGACGTCAAGCTCGGAGGATTTCTTGTAAGTATGGTGTATACAGAATGTCTTCCATTTCATGCATCGTCATATCGCTGCCTACGGAACAATATCGCCTATTTGCAAACTGAAAATTTCGCAGGACAAAGAGGAAACTTCACGATTCTTATAATACGAGTATTAAGGTTGAATTTGCAATGTTTTCATACATTATTGTTATTGCAGCGCTCTCCTACAGATTTTGAAAAAAACTAAAATCATCAGCTTGATGCGCATCTCATACTGTCACTGTTCGAGTCTCGTATTTTTAGGTCCCATAAGGCCTCCATTAAAAGTGGAGGGACGTTATGTGCAGACTCTCTGTATATTCTGCCGTCCTAAGGAAGAACGCCGTATGAACATCCAAATGTTGCCAAATTTCATCTCGGAAAAGATTAAGTTTTGAGGAAAGTTTTGAATGCTCTCCTTTGAAATTTTCAGATACTTTAGATAAAATTACGGACAAAATCCTACGAATAATCGGACCAAATATTCTGACAAAATTTCTCGAAAATTCATGATTCAAAAGAAATTTTGGCAACGTCTAAAGGTTCTTACGGCGTTCTTCCTTAGCATTGCAGTATTCCACACCGTATTTCCAGAGGCTCTTCGGCAAAATCTCGCGACAGCACCTCTTTTCCCATCTGGCAGCGTGGCGCCGAGGTGGGAGAAAGCGGTGTTGCCGTTTTCGAGGAATTCACCGAATTTCCGTGTCAGGGCCGGGGGCACGGGAGGGGCGGCCGGGGGGAGGGGGCGGCGCGGCAACGGCGGGAGAAAATGAAAGTGGTCCTCATTCGAAGCAGTAACAGTTCTCGTCTCCTCCGTAGCCAGGCCTTATCCTGTTTGCGAACACATGACAAAATATGTTATAACTTCTGGTTATCAAATCTGTCCGCGCCTTCCCGCCTTGCGCCCGCTCTCTCGCCGCTCAGTCTCCGCGTGATAGCGTTACGTTACGAACGCCGTGCCGCACCGCACCGTACCGCCCGGGCGCCCGCTCGCGTAAGCGAAACCCCCGGCGAACAACCGCGAAATCTACATGGACGATTTTTAAATTTTAAGTTCCTAAATCCCGTGCGTAGTATTCGTTTTTGATAGTTTACGCTGTTTTTCTCACTGTGTTCTTTGAGTTTCGGTAACGTCTCACCCCGCGTGGTCGCTCCGGTGACTTGAACGCCCGATTTCGTTCGATCTATTTATTTTAGAGAATAAGTTCTGATTGAAGTCTTTCAAATTTTAGTTCTTGGCATGACGGTGAGAGTGTGCTCTAGTCACCTTGTGTGCGCCTCGACCTACCACCCACCCCCGACGCTGTGAGATTTCTTCCCCTGCACAGGTAATTGTAAACTTTATCAATTTCTGCCAAAGACAAGACTGTACCTGTGAGTTAGCGGTTCGTTTGCCCGGTTTGAGAGGAATTCCCTTGCACTGAAAAAAAAGTATGGTAAATCCAAATATGAGTCCATTTGTTTTGTGACACAGTGATACATCGTTGGACGAAGATTACAAGGCATCCGGTAAAATTTACTATTTATTTGGTACCATTTTTATTGGATATACCGGTATTTTGGTGAATGCCAGTCTGTTGATGATTAACATACTCATATCATTGTAACTGAAACCATACTTTTTTCAGTGTGTCATGTAAAATAAATATTGGATGTCTCAATGTGAGGCACCATCATGAAACGACTTATCTGTAGCTTTGCGACGCCGGAATCGCATGACACTTTGGATTTACATTTGAAATTTGTAGGAAGACTAGTCTACAACGTACTCTGTTTCTACTGTAACATATACCCTCTCAAAAATCAAATTTCGCTTGAACTCAATAAGTTTCATGATTCCTGAGCCTTGGAAAAGTTATAATAAATGGGTAATGTAAGACACTCACATTTCTAGTTTACATGAACTAACAAAAGAAAAGAAACAAAACTGAAAGTCATTAAAAATACACTCATATTCCAAGTTTATGCTAACTCGCCTCGACTATTTTAATGCTGAATTATTTTCATCGCGTAAACTACTGTGAGATTCATTGATTCCTATTCACCTCCACGAAAGTTTCGCTGAAAAATATCGGATAAAATTATTGAAAAATCACTTTGCATTGACATATCCTGCCATGAGTCTGAGCATCGTTGCATCAATTATCATATTCATGACTTGTGGATGAGCAAGTGCTCCTTTCACTGATACTAATGTATTCTCAGGTTACTGCCTTCTGACAGATGCTCACAGAGAATAGACGTCAAGCTTTGACATACTGTCTAGTGACAAACGTACCACCCGTTCACAATGTCAAAATACGTGCATGCACCCAAATATGCTGTGGATATCAACAGAAGCTCATCCAGTCAATTTATGACTTCTATTCCATCGATCAAGTCGAATTTCTAGTCATATAAAGCCTTCATCTATAAACTCAGTTGAGTGATTCAGGGCCGAAATCCAACAAAAAACCATTTGTGAAAGCAGTGGCAACTTTTGCAAGGCGGTAAAACTGAGTTTCTTCCATTCAGCGGGCTGATTATTGTAATTGACAGACAAGGCGATAGACAAAGAAGACTTAGGGAATATGCAGCGATCCCATTGGTTGAAATTGGTGGTTTTAAAGACTAAGGAGGTAAATGATAGACTAACCATAGGGTCTCTCGTGGGTTGCCGTTAGTTAGTCTATCACCTACCTCCTTAGTCCACTGCAACCACCTGCTTCCACCCACAAGAACCCTCCATATCCTTTTTGTCTTCTTTGTCTATAGCTTTGTCTATAAATTTCAACAATCACCTGCAGATCCATTGAAACTATAGATTCTAGGTGAGACCGTCTGCCTCATCCAGAATAGTTTGTTTTGCATGCATTTAAATGAAAGAAAAACAGCGTTAATACCAATTTTGTTGGAAGAATCACTGCAGAGAAATGGGTTCAACAGCACTGGAAAAAAACACATTGGATCTAGAGTCCAGATTCTTAAAAACATCGACAAGAAAAAGTACTCTTGATTCAGTCAGAATCTAGCTTAAATCAAGAAGCAAGCCTCTTAATTTAAGCGGATTTCGTTTCGATTCAAGCTTAAATCTGATTGAATCAATAGTCCTTTTCCTTTTCGATGTTTTCAAGAGTCTGGACTCTAGATCCAATGTGTTTTTTTTTCCCAGTGTATTATTTACAATACACAGTTAATGCACTAAAGAGGCCCCCCTCCCCTCCCCCGGTAGTTCATGGCGATAAAATTTCGGAACTGATTTTAGTAGGAACTTGGGAGAGTACATGTCGTGCCGTTCAATCAGACGTAAGTAGGAAGGCCGTCACAGTGGCCAGAGGCAGGTTGCATAAGGATTAAGTTCGTGTCATGCGGCTTGCGCACACTAAACTTTTATTTAACGGACTTGGAGGACAAGGCGCATAAGTTCAGTTGTTGGAAAAATTGAGGTATTAATCATTTCGGGTAAGACTAGTCTTAATGCATATTCTGTGAAAATTTCGCACCCGAATTCCTATGTTTAAGCATCAAAAAGTCAGTTTGATCTCTCTTTCTTTCATCCTTGACATTTTGAAACTTAAAACACTCGTTTCTCGAAATAGCAAAAGCTGCACTTTTGCGCCTTATCCTTCGAGCCCCTCATGGGTGCTCTCATTTTTTAACTCCTCGTTTGGATTATGTATTTGTATGATTAAGTTTATCAGAAAGGCCTCCGGTCCTTAATATAAATAATAATGAACTGACTTGAACTGAAAGGTAACGAGTCACATGTTGATAGAAATATTGGGAAGAGTAGTTTGACGCTTAGCCATGCAGCTGCACGTTTTCCCCATGTTGAAAATTTGGATCTAAGGAACATATTTTGAATGAGAAAATAGGTGATGAGCTTTTCTCTGCCTGATTGAGTCTTATGGATAAATAAACTTCAAACTTCGTTTTCGCGGTTTGATTTTGACGTGACTTAGTTGTGTACTGTTGAGCCAGGACGGAAATCTCCCTCGATGCATGTTGTAGCCATGGTTTTAATTACAAAAATATTCCACACACACCGTTCAAGTGTCATCGTCTCTGTGTGAAAGGATCTTGTAAAGTACTATTAAGTGGCCAATAAGGTGAAGGCTTAAAAAATGTGCTACCTATAAATTTTGTGAAAAATACAACAAAAAGGAAGAATCGATTGTAATATTTGGGAATTTTTTTATTCAAAAGTGTAAGTAGCTTCCATGACATGATGGCATCGATGTGTGAATTTTTACCGCAAGTGCTTTTGCGGATTTTGAAGAGACTAGTTAGAATTTACATTTTTTATTACTTGAATCAAATGCTTTTACTGCGTACTTGAATTAAGTGCTTTTACTGCAACGAAATAATTGAGCTATCACCGGAAGAGACTATCCTCTAGCCCTGTCACATTGAAATTAAGTAACACAGCGAATCAAATGTAGGGAGATCACAAGAAATTACGTTCAAACCTCCTCAGACTTTACATTGAAAAAGACAAAATATTTGGAATTGTTCAAACTTCATGGGAATGAAATGATCCAAATAATTTTGTCTATATCTTCAACCTCCTTCACAACAATCTGATGCATAGAAGGTAGGACTAAGTGACCTGTTGTATAAAGGTTCTTAAACGATGTGAAAGAGATTGAGACCTACTGCATGCCACATGTATGACATCATTAACCACAAAATTCGAATGCATGACGACGTTTTCGTTCATACGCAATCAAATAGTTTGTTGCTGGGTTCATCTTGATGGATATTGCAGTATTACCATTACCCCCATGAGATGACCTGCATACCCATTTACCAGGACTGCACGTAGCCGTATGTTACTTCAGGAGATCTACGCGGAAAAACATCCACGGAGGTCACATGATATTGTCTCAATAAGATTTTTTTGATTCATGAGATTTGTTTTAATTAGAATACTTCCACAAGGCAACATTTCATTTAAACCGGGAAAAAATAATGGTTTATGGAATATATTCGCCTTCCTACTTTAAATTGAGGCACTGGATGCGAAAAGGGCACTTCTCGACTGCGATGTTTCAAAAGTTCTGTTGCTAATCGACCCCTTGCAGAATTTAATGGGTGATTATTCCAGAATGCTCTCCGTAGAAAATTGTAGAATCGTAAGGAATATTCAGTAAACTTTTTGGTGGAAAATTAAAAAAAAAATAAAAATGGATGCATTTGCTTTCCTTACACCGGAAACAAAAGAATGTTAAATTTGCCGCCAAGAAGTATTTCTTCTTAAATCAAGAATTTTGCTGGTTAATATAAGCTACTTTTTTGCTTAACCCAAGCATTATTTTTCTTGAATCAAGAAAAAGTCAGCTTTAAGCAAGATAAAGAAAATTCTCGGCGGCAAATTCAAGAATTATCATGCTTGATCCAAGCTACTTTTTTTTCAGTGTACAATAAATGAAATAGTAGAGGAGACTCTGAAACACTGCAACAGAGAAGTGCCCTTTGCGCATCCAGTGCCTCAAATTGACTTGGCATAGCTTTGAGAAATCTCTAAGTCCAGAGTTTAGGTCCACGCTAACAAGCTATGACTAAAGAAATGAACTTTGAAACCCTGGAAAGAGTCACTGCTTAGACGGCTGAAATTCCCGAGAAGACAGGATTTCAGAGAGTGATTCATAAAAGACTACCTGTTTACGTCTTTTTCTTTCTTGACAACACGTGAGAGCTAAGCAGAGCAAGAACAGGGCCTTGACCTGAAATAATTGACCCATTGGAATCTTAGCCAAGTTTACGCGAGAGCTTGAATCCGGATTGAAACAGTGACCAGGATCTCTCGTCGATGCACATCGAAAATTCATTTCCCATCAACTGTAAAACCAAGCCAGAATTCGGTACTTCTCTCGTAATTCAACTTTGAGTGGAACATTCTGCAAACATAAAATTCAAGTGTCTCTCTCACAATCAATGATTACTCTGATATATAAAATAGTACACGATACATAGTTAGTGTGATTATTCTAATTTCGTTATCTATTACGGAAAAATACACTTTGATCTAACGTTTAAAATCATACTTGCAAGCATAGATATCCAATGCCCATCTAGTCGAATGATATACGTTTACTGGTCGCAGTGAACATTTAGTTCACTGCGAACTATAGAGCATATAGAACTATAGAGCATTTAGCTCTATAGTGAAATGTAAGTTACTTTTTGATTATAAAATTTTTAATTTCACCTTTAACGCAATTTTCATGTGGTATTAGATTGATTGCATTTAGCGAAAAGGAACTAGCGCAATAACAGTGTTGTAAAAATGCGTTGCTTCCTCATAATCATCTAAAAATTCTTTCAGAATAGCAATTAGTTTTGGCCT